ATGGGCACGCCCATGGGCGGCCCATGGGCGACCCATGGGTCGCCCATGGGCATGCCCATGGGCGTGCCCAAAATCATGTTATATATTCAAGGGCTCCGGACTTCGGGCGCAGAGGCGCCCTCGTCCTCAGTAGTAGGCTTAAAGGGAAGGTGTGAAGACTGTGCACAGCATACCAAGGGCATGAAGCCGCAGGGTGACCGAATGAACGGTGTGAAGATGTTCGCGTTGTTTTCGAGAAATGTGTCGTTCCCGTGTAACGTGAAGCCAAAAGAGTCGCGTGTACGTGAATTTTTGTCTAGCTTCGCCCGGTGCGGACGAAAAGGAGATGTACGCTACGGTCGCCTCCCTATTCTTGCGCCGGTAAGAACGTAGTCACTCTCAGGCAACGTTCTCTAAGTGGCTTTGCGGTGGCCAATATCCTCCCCAAAGCGGCCAAAGAAAGAACGAACACTGCAATTGGTCGACGGTATTGCCGGTAGTTGATGGTGTGTTGCCGCCTAGCTTTCATATTCAAACTTCTTCAGTGTCGCGCCTTTCTCTAGTATCCCCCTCTAATGTTCTGGAACTATTTATTCTAACTTCTTCAGTGTCGTCCCGCTCGAATGCTTATATTCTAACTTCTTCAGTGTCGATCCGCTCTGATGCCGCGCCCTTCTCCAATGCCCCCCTCTAATGACGCCGATATGCGGTATCCCTCACATTGTGAAAGGAGTGGAACACCTAAAACATTCAGACAAAGTAAGAACGAACATCGCACGCAATGGTTCGACTGCGTTGCCGCTAGTTGACGGTGAAAGAGTTGACGCCTCCCGCCTCGGGTCATCGTTGCCCCTTGCGGCCCTGGTGGTTCTTGCCGATTACCACTGCGGAAGGTATGGTTTCGTTTGCAGCCTTGTACGCAGGTCTCGAGCTTCTCAATGTTGAAGCGCGACGGTGATGGCCGTGATGATGTCGGTGATGGTGCAGGCGGTAGGGTGCCTGCGCTGGCGGCAGAATGCAATTATTGGGGAGATGGATGTAAGAGCGTGTACGTGTCATAATGCCTAGATGATACGGTATAATGTAAATTTATAGCAGAAGAAAGAGGTTGTTGGGGAGGAGGTAATGTGGAGGCATTAAAGTGGATGTTTATCGGAGCACCAAAAAATCGTTTAGCTGCGATGATTTCTTCGACACGGAATAGTTCTCATAATGTTGTTGGAGGTCGAATATGCGGTGGTAAGCACGTCCTTGCAAGGTGAGCATTGAAGGGGCTGGCGGTTCAGTCCATGTCTTCTTTTGAATACCGCCTGCGCCTAATGCAGTGAATCCGAAAAGCCCGTTGTACCTTCTTTGAGCAGAAATGAATTTAGTAGTTTCAAACAGCGCCATAAAATGGTGGGGGATAGATTGGAGAGGATGGATATATACGACTTGCCCTTTTTACAACAATTTAATCTCTTTTCTTCTTTCCAAAGTTGAGCATTGCAGTGAGAACATGTGACATTTTGTGGATCATCCAAATCCATCCGTCGTGTGTTTTAGCTCGAAACGTGCCGAAGGGAAGTCGAACGATTGCGAGTCAATGTCTTGCACTCCAAGGCAGATTTGGTTATTAGCATCACCGCGATGGCTGTCTAGACTGGGTGCCGGTAACCTTGGTTCACGATTCCTCATTTGGCTAAAATGTTGACGTATCATATCGAGTTCAGGGTCTGAGTCGTGTGGTGTGTTATTGTTTGCATTGCGACGTCGACGTTCCGCTAAGATTTCAGCTTGCGCGTTATCCGGACAGGTTTGTGGTGTTCGAGTTTCAGGCGTCGTTCGTGGTTGGGTGAGCGATCTTCGTTGGGTATTTCGACGAGCTGAAGGTGTTCGTCGAGTTGTAGTTGTTTGTACGTTCCTTGAGGGAGTGTTACTCTGGCTGGGTGTGGAACTTTGGTGTGGATTGTGACGTGCAGTATGTGATCGTGTTTGGCGATTGTGAGATGCGGCTGCTGAACGAGTTACCCGATGAATTGGCGTCGGCCGACATCGATGATTATCAGACATGGGGTGATATATCTACTCTATTGATAGTTGGCGAAAGCCAGTTGAAGGTGGCAACAATGTGCCTTGAGTAACTTGAGACGTTTACTTTTTTCTGAAATGGAAACACGCGTCTTACTTTAGAGGTCGGCGTGGGTAGTTCCCAGGTCGCGGTGCTCGTCGGTCTTGTTGAGGATCTCGTTGATGGTCTGGTCCCACAGGCGGCGGGCGCACTGGTAGTGCAGCGGCGGGGAGTCTCAATCCTTGATGATCAGGTCGTCCTCGACGATCTCGCCCGTGCACCCGTCGGCCAGGTCTTCGTCGTTAGTCGCTGCGTCGGAACACTCGCAGTGCATCTTTGCAGTGGATATCGGATGGGTGACAGGGGGAAATATAAGGAATACATTTCACATGGTTTTACTATATAAAATAATTATAATTTCTATATAAAATAATTATAATTTTATATATGACGTGGACGGTTGAACTCGGTGTACTGACAGGGGAAAATATAAGGAATGAAGGTCACATGGTTTCCCCATACTAAAAAATGTTATTTTTTTGTGACGTCGACCGGTGAACACGGTGTACTTTTGTGACATATGGGTAACTAATTTACAGCAACAGTCGGATGCATCCGCGCACCCATATCCAGGTAACTACGCACACACACGACTGGTCACTACACAATCACGTTCCGATGTAAACGGGTGTACACATGATTTACCCCGATA